TGGTTATTACTGTGGGTGGATGAGATCATCTTAACAGGACCCAACAGTGATAAGATATTAAAAGCTTTACAAGAAGAGTTTTCTGCTAAAAATCTTGGGAACATTAAACCTCTCTTGGGTATGGAAATAGAGACTGAAGAGACCTTAGTGCACATCTTACAAAAAGGACTTATTGAGAAAATGCTAGAAAAATTCAAGTTGGAAGACTGCAAAACTATATTTCCACACCTATGGAACCAAATTTTCAAATAGAGAATCAACCAGTTAGAACTTACATACCCTACAGAGAAATTATTGGTTCATTATTATACCTAGCTACAATAAGCAGACCAGATATTCAATACTCTGTAATTTATCTGAGCAGATTTCTAGATAAACCTACAGAACAAGAATGGACGGCTGCAAAGAGGATCCTGAGATACTTGAAACAAGCACAGAACATGTCACTAACTTATGAAAGAAGCACGGGAAGCAAGAATCAACTAACGGCCTACACTGATGCGAATTGGGGCAGAGATCAATTAAATAGAAAAAGTGTCAGTGGCTATGCAGTGTTTATGAACCAAATCCTACAGTCTATTTTTTCCCAGGATAGATTTTGACATTGAAAACTTTAAAACATAAACAATAACGCTTGGCCCTGATTGGTCGCAAAATGAGGTGTCCCTGCAGGTTAACATCAGTTTTACAATGTATGTCGTGCAAATGGCATTTTGCGACCAATAAGCGGCATTAGCAGCATTGTTTATGTTTCAAAGTTGCCAATGCCAAAATATATCTTGGGAAAAAATAAACTGTAGTTTCATGGGGATCGAAAAAACAAAGTGTTGTTGCACAGTCGAGCCATGAATCAGAATATCTTTCCAGTGCATTAACTGCTTCAGAAAACTCACATTTGAGTGAGTCAGGTTAGTATCGTAATTAACCAACATATTGATGAATAGATGGCTGGGACCACCTATAAGTTCCGCAACAGTCCACTAGTTTGTACTTGAATAACTTGTCACATTATGTTACTAGTTTGGTGAAGTAACATTACTAATTTCTGTTGAAAGGCAAATTGACAAAAAAAGAATAATCATAATCTTACAAATTTTGACTTCATATAATAAGTTATTGTTCAAGTACAAATAAGAAGATTATTGCGGAACTTATGGGTGGACCTCTGTGGGACGAGCGCAGCGAGTTACGCAGACATCTACTCACGAATATACTGTTGAACTATTCAAATAGAATACTCACCTGAAACGTATAGTTTTTGAACTAATGAGAATAACTGACATTTGAGTGAGTCAGGTTGATATCGTACTTGAACAACGTATTAATGAATAAATGACAGCGGAGGTCCACCCATAAGTTCTGCAACAATCCACTCATTTGTACTTGAATAACTTGTCACATTATGTTACTAGTTTGGTGAAGTAACATGACTAATTCCTGTTAAAAGGCAAACTGACAAAAAGTGGATAATCTTGCAAATTCTGACTTTATATAATAAGTTATTGTTCAAGTACAGGGCGGTTTTTTATATATTAACACCCCACCTATAGCCTTCACCTTTACAAGTAAATGAAACGTGTAGATACAAAAGTTGTACAGTATTGGCTAAATTTTCAGAATCCATGGTCAGAAACAAAAATTGGATGTCAGAACCAATAATGGGATGCCCTATATTTGGTTGTATATTTTTGAAGAGCACAATTTCCCGATTCCAAAACTAATTGTTTGTCTATATTTGGTTGAGCCGTCTCCAACATATTTGGTTCTAAAAATTTTGAAAATACTATCAGAGAAACCATGTACCTACCTCAAATTTCACCTGCAGCTTTCACCTGTATAGGTAGAATGGTTCACAAAATCCGTAGTAGGATAGTATTTTTACAATTTTTGGAGCCGAATATATGAGAGACTGTCCAATTAAATATAGACAAACTATATATTTTTGGAATCGGGGCATTGTGCTCTTCAAAAATATAGAATGAAATATAGGGCATCCCATTTGGAAAAAGCTAGAGGCACGCAAAATTTCACATTTCTGACATTCAATTTTTGTTTCTGACCATCATAGTTTCTAAAAATTCAGCCAAAACTGTATACACCTTTCTTTTACCTGTAAAGGTAAAGGCTGTAGGTGGGGTGTCAATATATAAAAAAACACCCTGTACATACAAAATTCCTGTCCCGCTTTCCCCTACATCTCCCAATGAAAACCGTAAGCACCGTTTTTTTTTACGTTTTTCTAGAACATAAATTACACATAAAATTTTGTAGGTGTGTGTAAGTAAAAACAAAAAATATTTTGACGGAGTGAAAATTAAATTTAGATCGATGACATTGAACTTAAAGCTCCGCTTTTCTATTATGTGTAACTGGACCATAGAAATTCAGTTATCTAGGCAACAAAAATAACCATCCCTTGGATGCTTGGGCAAAATGTTTATAGACCATTTCCAGACTTTTAGGCTCCAGTTTTGTTATCAAACTTTACAATTCTAAGCAATAGTTTTGTTGGGAACCTGTTGAATGAATACCATTCATTGTCGCGGTAAGTTTAAGCAAAATACAATGCGACTTTTCAAGAAAAACTACATTTAATGTAGGTGTTTACAACTTAAAAATAGCACAAGTGAAATAAATTATTAGACAATGTAAAAACAAATAGAAACGTTTGAGTGGGACGTATAAACACGAAACGTTTATTATTTTATCAATGAACTTACCTTGTATAAAATGATGTTTTTGAGTCAATAAAAAAAGCTTCAAACTATTAGAGTTATTTTTTTGATTGGGACTAAATTATTGTTATAAGACAGCAAAAAAAATAAGCTTATGAATGAACTATAATGAAAATGGCGAAGGGGCCAGGATATCTTTAGCACTAGTAAAGTTGAATAACTCCGTATTTTGATACGTAGAATCACCATCACAAAAGATGGGAAAATAACGCCCGATATTTTTCTGGATTAGTTGAAACATCAGGTCTAATAACCAAAATACTTTCCCTTCGAAGGATTATTGGGGATGTTCCGAGGGAATATTCCAGAAATATCTTGATCAAAGTCTTGTAACATTCCTGGTATATTCTAGACAAATCCTTAGATATGGTAGTAGGACTACCTGAAAATATTCTCATCAGTTTTTTTAAAATTTCTGGAATATCTTCCAATACCATAATAACTAAACTACATGTTTAGTAAAGTTAATCATGAAAAGGGGGTCGTGCTTGCAAAAGGTCAGTTTTTGCTCAATATCTCAGTGAAGGAAGTCTGACCACAGGTATAGTCACTCTACATCTTAAAGAAGACTAAATTTCGATAATTTGAAACCAGGACAAGCTCTATACAGCCATTGGTTCTCAAGATACATTCTACGAAAATAGGACATTTTTTCCAAAAAGTGAATTCTTTTCAAAATGGTTATGAAGCCCAAAATGACCTCAATTGCGGCGGTTCATTGCTCCTGTAATTCCAAGACATCCATACTTTTGTAAATCTGCCAATCGGTTCTACTTTTGGCCATCATACTATTGCAGCGTAAGTGTCCATGGGTCTTATAACCATTGTATGCATCATTTTTTGCTTTAGACCCCAAGTCTTGCTGAATAATCTCCGGCATGTCCAGTATGTAGCTATTGCCCGGTCGGTTACTCTTATAAGATGCTGGTTCCAAGTAAGTTTTTGATCCTAGATGACTGCTAGATATTTAACCTCACTTGCGAAGTTGATCTGTATCCCATTTAAGGTTGGGGCTGTTAGATTTAGCCTCCTTTTCCTTGTAAAAGGTACAATTGATATGGTTTTGTAGGGGTTGACGCTTGAACCCTCCTGTAGACACCATAATGACATTTAGGGCATTTTGCATGAGGTCACTAATGATTCTGTCATGCTTACCACTAATGATGACCGTGAAGTCGTCAGCATATCCTAAGACTGTGATTCCTTGGGCGCTTAGCGCAATGAGAAGTTCATCTACTACCAGTGACCACAGCAGTATTACACCCCCTTCAGGGCATCCCTTAATCCCTTGACTGCTGCAGAGTCACTTCCAATAGTTGCTTTGATTTTCCTATTCTCAAGCATGTTGTCAATCCAATTGCAGTTTCGTCAAATTCTTTCTGTCTAGCCGCTCTTCTGATAAATTGAGGTGATAACGCCAACAGAAGCATTGAAAATTTGATACTAGAAAAGTTAACTGATGTTTCATTTTTAACCTACGACCTTAAAATAGTAACTATACCTACAGATTCTGAGAAAGTTTCTGTTAAGGTTAAAAAAGGAGTCATATTGACAATTTTAGGAAAAATCTGTGCTTCAAAAGGTCTGGTAGAAAAAAAAAAAACAACATCCAGTAACTTTTCTGTTTTGATCCAATGAACAACGTGGATATAGGTAACGAGAGTGTCACATCTTCCGCATTCATAGTGGAGTTAAAGGAAAAAACCGAGGGAAAACAAAAATGATGGATGACGGAACTTGATAAAACTGAGGAAAAGACTATCACCCTCGTATAACTTCGCGTCATATTTTCACATCAAAAATTCTATTTGCAAAAACTTCAAGAAAAGGAAAAGGGGGCCAAATCCCTTCCCATATAGGTATACCTTATATCATGATTTAATTTTATCTTAGCGTCACCCCAACTAATGTAATCTTTAAGGGAAAGAGCTCCCTTCCTGAGGATTACCCTCGGGATTATTGCTCACAGACGGCATTCAAAAGTTAAGAGAAGCTGGAAAGTCTTAAATAAACTCCTATCTTTGGGGGACTAATTTTTCCGCTAGCAAAAGATTCAATGTTACTAAATCCTGAAAAGAATAGGTATAACAAAAAAGCTTTGATCCCTCTGGAGCTTAACCTTCATTAAATTTACCCTGTGCATCTAACAAGAATAATCCACCTGGATACTGTATAAATTTTCATGTTTTTTATAATCAGTAGAACAGCATAATATAATTACTTTATAGTTTAGGTGATATTATTCTAATACTTGGTTATTTTTAGGAAAAGCGCCAGCGGTGAAGTGTGGGAAAGTGAAAGTGGTTTGAAGTTGCAGGGCTGGCATGGGCTGCTCTCCCAGCGCCCTGCTGGAGCAGATCCACAAGGGCAGTTCGGCCAGCCTAGACAAAGTGGAAAAATGCGGCGGCATCAAAAAATCTCCGCCGGTTACGAATAGCGTGACTACGGCTACGGATACGGTTGTGTCCGTTAACAGCATCTCGAGAGGTAACTATTTTTCATTAGAAAATTAAAGTGTAGGTACCTATTTTTTATTTGATTAAAAAAAAAATTAATCATCGTTCTTGGCAAAGGAAAAAGGTAACTTTACCTTTCATGCATACAATTTTTTAAATCCTGCTGAAAGCTGATTGAAAAAATGTTTCAGGTACTTTGCAAAAAAGCCTCAATTAATGTCGTCAAAGGCCCATATGGATTTTTAAAATTTCATAAAAATGTAATTTAACATTTTCATGGCTTTGAAGTTTTTTCATAGATATTTATCTCAAACAAGCACGTGATGTCATTTATTAAAGTGAGAGGTCCAGACTTTCTAATAGAGTGGGTAATAATTTTGCGGACAAAAATATCAGTTTTTATTTTTCTTTTGAATACCTTTAGGTATTTTATATCCTACTGAACTATTAAAACCATATAATACCTTGGTTACGATAATCATAAACAGGGTCTTAACTCCCAAGGGAGTTAAGGATATCATTACTCCCAAGGGAGTTAAGGATTTCCATAACTCCCGCTTTAACCTTGAATAGGTAACACTTTGACAAAAAATAGAAATTTTGATTTATGGCTTATTCCTTTATAAAAATAGACAGAATACAGTAAATTCAGTAGGATATAAAATTATCTATGTACCACGGGAATTATCCGGAGTTAATACCCACGGGCAATTGGTGTCCCTCGGGCCGGAGGCCCTCGGGACACAAACGTTGCCCTGGGGTATTAACACCTGCATAATTCCCTTGATACATAAATAACTATAATGAAACATATTGCCTTGTAAAGGTTTCTATAAATAAAAAATATTATAATACATACATACATACATATAGTAATCTTCCGTAAGAGAAGTCAAATGCCATTCTTTCTCTTAGCATGGAGTTGATCCATACACAGCAGGTTGCGGTGTTTCATAATTGGACTATCCTGCAAGTTAGGAAATGTCATGTCATGGATTTGTCATGTCGTGTGGTCATTCAAAGCAAACGTTAGTTTATAGAATTTGTAATCTGTTTTCGGGCCATAAAATAAAGTCCTGTGTCCAGTAAACTGTTTAAATGTTTTATCGTCAAAACATTAAGAAAATACATAGCATATTTTGGTGACGAGTTGGTGACTTCGAATTGATTTCACATCAGTAGTGTTGTTATTGTGTGGTGCTTCTAATTTAATTTGTACAGTTTAGGTACCTATTTATTATGACGTTATTAGGAAGCATAGAGCCATTTAATCCGGAATCTTGTGACTTTGTAAGTTGGCTCGAACGTCTGGACCAACTGTTTATTTGTAATGAGGTTCCAGATCAGAAAAAAGTAACAATGTTCATAACTTTGTTGGGTTCTGATACTTATCAAGTGCTTAAGAATCTTTCGCCACCTGATTTGCCCAGCAGCAAAGATTTCGACACTCTGAAAACGACTTTGAAGAATCATTCCAGTCCAGTAACAATTATTATTGCTGAAAAATTTAAATTTTATAAGTGTATCCAAGTTCCAGCTGAGCCACTGTCATTTTTTGTGGTAAAATTGAAATATGCTGCAAAGTCATGCTCATTTAATACTTTTCTAGATGATGCCTTAAGAGATTGTTTTGTATGTGGTTTGGCATCACCTATTCAATGGAAATTATTAGTCAGCGATGGAATTAGCTTTAAGTTCTAAGCTAGCAGAAACTCAAACAAAATTATTTCAACCAGATAGTAGTGTCCAGGGTGTTAGTGCGGTTTATACAAAAAAAAAATGTCAGTCAAGGTGCAGATTCTAGGAAGTTGGTGAGAATTATTAGGCCTGTGGGTAGCCAGAAGTGTTTTCGTAGTGGAAGAGCTTATGGGCCATCTAGGGATTGGAATTGTTTTTCTTATGGAAAAAAGGACACATTTCATCAATGTACCGAGCAAAAACACAACTTTGATGAACCAGAGGCGTTTAAGACTACTTCGGGTGCCTCTGAATAAGTTGTGCGGTCCGACTGAATGGTGAGATTATTGTTATGGAAATTGATTCAGGAGCATCAAGATCAGTGATTTCCAATGTACTATTTTAAAAACTGTTTAGGGGTCTATTCTCGGGTCTATTTTTAAAACCTGTTAGTTGTAAGTTCAGTGTTGTGACAGGTCAATCAGTTTAGGTAGTGGGGGAAATATTTGTCAGTTTTTGTTTTAATAATTAAAAGTTTGAATTACCCTTATTAGTCATAAAATTTGAGAAAAATTTTACACCAGTGCTGGGACGCGATTGGTTAGATATAATGAGTCCAATGTGGAGAAATATCATATTTTTATTAATAATCTGTCAAATTTTTCTGAACGTGAAAATACTGACAAAAGCCAAGCATTTTCTCATTTTGCAGCAAACTTTCCATCAGTATTTTCAAGTTCTACTAAGGAACCCATAAAAGTGTTTGAGATTAAATTGAAATTCAAAGAAAATACTTCTCCTATTTTCCGGAAACCTTACAATATTCCATTTGCTTTACTTAAGCTTGATGAGGGTATTTTGATTCCGGTAAGTACCAGTCATTGAGCGAGTCCTATTTTAATTGTATCAAAAAAAAAATTGGCATATCAGGGTCTGCGTGGATTTTAATGTTACCCTAAACCAAGTGTTGCGTCAGGATATATATCCTCTTCCAAGTATAAATGACCTTTTACCAAAATTGAATGGAGGTTCTGTATTTTGTACCCTCGATTTGTTGGGTGCGTATCAACAATTGTCTGGTGGATACCTCTTCTCAGGAACGTTTGACCATCAACACGAATTTTTGGGTTGCATAGATATAAAAATATACTCGGCTAACTTATGGAACTACCAGTGCCCCAGCAATGTTTCAAATGACCATGGATAAAATTAATACTCTCTTTGAAGGGTGTTATTTGTTGCTTGGATGACACTTTGGTCATTGGTAAAAAATTGTGCAAGATGCTCAGTGGCGCAATTAGGGTGGGGCATGATGGTAATGACACAAATTAGCGATCCGCCCTCCCAAACCCGAGCGAGCAGATCTGAGTCGCTTTCCAGTGACGCACTTTAAGCACTCCTGAGCTGCTCTAGAGCGCCCTGGACTGTTTATAGGCGTTCCAGTGCATTGGAGTTTCGCGCAACTGAACTGTTCGTTTTTCCTCTCCCCTGCCCTCTCAAGCACCTACTATTTTATGGGGGCATGAAAAATATGAAGCTTAAAGTAGGGCGCGTTTCAGTGACACAACAGTTTTTCAACCCTTTCGTCTCCTGGTCCGTGTCTGTTTGTGCACTTAGGAGGAATTTAATTTAACAGAACTTGTTTCAGTTTTCAAGTTGTTTTTAGTACCGATTTAAGTAGTTTAAGAAGTTTTAAACTCAATTTTTAGTTACATATTTGGGTGGTATGAATAAAAACTGAGTTTAAACTCGGAGTATATACTCGTGAGCAGGAGTATGAAGTCTGAGCTTATACTCCATTTCCTAAGAATAAAAAAGATTTCGGTTTGATAAGTACATACTCCTCGTACATAGAGTAGATACTTAATATTTTATTTTGCTTGCCACCGCTCTTTCGCCTCTATATCCTCTTCACAATCCGATGTCCACAGGTACAGGTGAATTTATCACCTTTCCCTATCAAATAGCATTGAAAGGTGATACATTTTACCTGTACCTGTGGACATCGGATTGTGAATGGATAATTTTATATCCGCAGGACTGCAGGGAAATTTGTTCCACGGTTCACTTTGCTGAATTATCTTATCAGTTACTTCCGATACAACTTTAGACACCAAGTTTGGTGAACACCAACATCCTCGCCTACTATTGCCTGAAAGCCCGGGTCACCCACGTATCTTAAAAATATTTTAAATTTGTCTTTGTTGCATAAAGCAGTTCCTCTTCTTTCTCCAGACTCTTCACCCAAAAATTGATTTAATAACCACAATTTCCTTACTAAACCGGTACAACGTTTTAAAGTCCCGATCACACGTATTTTTTCTAGTTTTGTAAAATTTTTCCGAACGCAGGTTAAGATTGAAGAACAGAACTCTGCCATAGCTCTGCGTTCTACCGAGAGAAAATCGGTACTGATATAACTTAAAGCAGAATGTTGAGTCTACTGCATAGCAGACTCTAAAACTATGGAGTAGATTCTCCTGCCGAAGAGCACAAACAATTTTTTATTCATAACCAGAAGTGAGAATCTACTCATACCAAATAGGGAACTTGCACATTAAATTAAATATGAAATAAATAATAAAATACAATAACAATCATCCTAATAAATGATGCAATTAGGAAAAGGATATAATACCTTATCTCTGGTTTTCAAAATATTCAATTGAAAATTAATACCAAATAATTAGGCAATTCAAACCACGTGACATTCAAGATGGCGTGGCGGCCACACATGGGCCAAAAAACACAAAAAAATATCTATTTTCTGCCCGAATTAATAGTCTAGGCACCTAGTCAAAAAATAGTTTATTAAATAATGAAAATCAAAGTTGTAAGCAAAACTGTATGCAAAGTAATTTAAAATACGCATAAAAACATATTCAAAACAAACTTGCTTGGCCGCCACGCCACATTGAATTTTCCTTTTTGACAGATGGATTGAATTGCCTAATTGACGTGTCTCGCAGAAATAGAAAAAGAGAGCTTAATTGTAATAAATACAAGTTAGAAAGTAATAAAAAATGACATGCGCGCGCAACCCCTGGCTGCAGTGTAGCTAGATTGTATTGTTGCAGAACAAATGTAGACAATAAAAATCGAACATTATAACATTAAAGAAATGATATATTGTCAAGTGTTTTACAACGCCTTAAATCAGACAAAATGAGAGCTTTAAAGTGTATGTTAACATCGATGGGACTTTTATTTTGATAAATGTTTCATCCGGCAACATCGCTCAATGAAATTGCCAAGGAATATGTCAAGTATAATCTAACATAACCTTAAACGACACTGCAATAAGTTCAAGTAATACGTAAAGTATTAGTTTGTTCTTTGTCTAATTTCACGTTA